AAAGAGCAAGAAAGTATTGATATTGATAAGTACCTATTAGTGTGGTAGAGAGGTGAACAGGCCTCCTGGGGATGTCTGTTGGAGCTTAGCAATGTTTAAAGGTTCATTGACGTTAAATGTTTGCAAAGCCGAAGTTCCTTGGGGAAGAGTGCTTTAAATGTCTGTGCAGTCCATTCATCTCCAGCTAATGGCAGTTTAAGTTATGTAGGTAACGAAAGCGGTAGTTGAGGCCAGCCACTCTACTGTGGTGCGTTCTAGGCTGGGGCAACCAAAGCTGTGAAACCCAGTTATAGCATTGTTTCTCCCAGTAGAGCCACCTCAGTTTTGCAGGTTTTTATTACAGGGAAGGTGCATGAAGCTGCTCATGTGTGGGCTGTATATGACTGTTTGCAGTGGAAGATACCTGAAAATGACCTTACTCAGTCAATCCCCTTCTCTGTTTACAGAGTAAATGAATAAATGTTGCTGAATGCAATAGTTCTTAAACTTTCCTGCCCTCTGTTGTCCTTCTTCGTCTGCAGTATCAGAAATCACTTGAGCGGGTCACAGATGCAGCTCTAGGACACATTAGGAGAGAACATTTCGCTCTGCAGGACTGGTCGTACAGAGCACAGTGAGTTAAAGTAAGGCTGGTCTCAATGGACACAGATCTGCTGGGCATTCAGGGAGACAGGGGTAGGCGGATCTCTGAGTTGGAGGCCAGCCTGGTCTACAAAGTGAGTCCAGGACAGCCACGGCTACACACAGAAAAAGAATGCCAATCGGTAATACAGTAATACTGATGGGTAATATGAGGACATACTTCATTTTCCTGTTTTATTAAAGGGAATCCTAATTGGGTAACAGACATATTAATCATTGAAAAAATGCTCACTCCTGCTGACATCTGTTACTAAATGTGGGATGTTTTATAGAAGCCATTCAGTGGTGTCTGTGTGTATCAGTTTGCTAACAGCAACAGTACAGCACTAGTTAGGCCAAAACATTCTATTCCTAGACTTTTTTCTCCCTTCTGTTGTTAAATTATTGACTGCCAGGAGAGGAGTCACCTGAGTCACCTGATTATGAGCTTCTGTTACTATAGATAAGATATTCTAATATCATGTGTGTGGTCAAAACATCGGTTTGAGTCTCAAATGGCTTTTATCCCTTTCTCTAGGGAAGTTTTTCTAACTAACAAATTAACAGTTTAAAAAAAAAAAACAGTAACTCGAAGCCCTTCCATCCCCACCTTTTCTTTTGATGCTCTGAAATCCTACCTGGTCAGCCAAATGGAGTTCAGCACATCCTTCTAGCATCTTACCACAATGGGTAAGCCCTCCATTCCCTTGAGCTGCTCAAGCTTGATTCCACACACAATTTATCATACACTGCCCTGTGCTTATATGTACTTATATATTACTAGCTGCTTTTTTTTTTTTTTTTTTTGCAGGGGAAGGGTCAAGGCAAAGTTTTTCTGTGTAGCCTTCTGGCTATCCTGGAACTTGCTCTGTAGGCCAGGCTGGCCTCGAACTCAAAGAGATCAGTCTGCCGATGCCTCCAGTGCTGGATTAAGGCATGCATCACCACTGCCTGGCTATGTTATCAGCTCTTAGTGGAATCATTCCCTCTCACTTTTTAAAATCTTTTGTGAGATTCAAACATAGTATTTTTAATAATTGAAACAATTTTATTTGTGTGTGTTCCAGTATGTGCATGCTACAATGTCTGTGTGTGTGCATGTTTTTAGGTGTGTGTATAGAAATAAGAAAAACTTGTGGGAACTGGCTGTGTCCCTCAACTGTGTGGGATCTCAAGATTGGACTGAAGTCATCAGGCTTGGGGTAGAGTGTCTTCTACCCACTGACTCATCTTACCTACCCAGTTTTTGAAACAGTCTCGCTCTGAAGCTGGATCTCAGTGATGCAGCTAGTGTGGCCAGTCAGTGACCTCCTGGCAAATACGACAGTGGCACTCTCAAACAAACAACAACAAAGCCCACTCTTTTTGTTCCCCTCTTTAAAAGAAAACAAAACAAAACTTCAGAACTCAAGAGACATAAAAAGCATTTTAGTTTGGCCAGCAGACTGCCTTGGCTCTTTTGATTCAATTTCTGTTACAAAGTGATGTGAGGTCAGTATGCAGGTGCTCTCGGGGAAATGTCTGGAAACCCCGTGTTCATTGGGATGCCCCACAGAAGGCAAAGAAGCCCAGTTAAACAGCCTGTCTTCACATTCTAGTTCTATTGAGTTGACTTCCAATAGTGAGTTTTCCCCAAAAGACCCATCACTTTGGGGAAAGTGAAGAGGTCTGACACTGGTGAGGATGAGAGCTTGTCCTTTTAAACAGCTTCAAGAAAACCACATTCCTTGAGTTGATGCTTTTACATGAGAAATGCTTTAAGCCAACAGAAAAGAAAATGAAAACCAAACCAAACCAAAAACCTCCAAAGCTTCAGAGCATCTCAATGCCTCCATCTCCTCAGGAGCCCTGAGTGTCTGATTGTGGAAGAGAGAAGGAAGCTGTGTGTTCTGGCACCTGTGTCTAGGGCTGAGCTAGCAGGTGCGCCCTGTGAAGCATGGGGCTGATGTTCCTGTGGACCATGAACCTGCTGACAGGGAAGCTCCTTAAAGCTCAGCCCGGAGTGAGTGCTGCAGCTCAGGTTTGCTCACTGCTGTTGGAAGGTTTGGAACAGAACCAAATTGTTTTATTGAATCAGACAGATTTGCTCTGCTTGGGAAAATAGTGATGTCAAGGACTGTGTAGCCTCCTGATTCTGTTGTTCTGAAGCGACCTGGGCTCATAGGTCAGTGCTGTGCTGGCTCACTGCATTTTAATTAGATGGGAACAGTGGCCTCACTCAACAGGTCTTTTACTTGAATTTTTTTTTTTTTAACTGAGTTTAGAGTAGAATAGGTTAATGTTAACCCAGTAAATTAGAGAAGGGAGTAAATCTTGTGTGTATGCAGAAATGAAAATAGAAGCAAAACTCTTGAGGAGAGCTAGGGGACTGGAGAGAGTGAGAATGGGAGTAGTAGGGGAAGGTGGGGGAAATAAACTCAAAATGCACTATGTACTTGCAAAACAATGTATATAAAAGACAGGGTTTGTATCTACAGGAAGGAGGGAAAGAAAACTAAGCCAGGCACAGTGACTCACACCTCATAATCCTAATACTTGGAATGCTGAGGCAGGAGGATCACTGTGAGTTCAAAGACAGACTCTCAAAAAAAAATAATAAAATAAAATAAAACAAACAATAAGGACTAGAGAGATGGCTCATAGGTTAAGAATGAATACCACTGCCGGGCAGCAGGCAGGAGGATCTCTGTGAGTTTGAGGCCAGCCTGATTTATAGAGCTACTCCTGGGGCAGCCAAGGCTATACAAAGAAACTGTCTCATAAACCAAAACAACAACAAAAAACAAACAGGCAAAAGAAATAACTGTTGGCAAGAACATATTTGGATCAACTCTTATGAAGTTCATGAGTATTTAGCCCATGGCTTTTTCACAGACTGTATACTTCTGTTCCCAATTAGGAAACAGAATTTTACCAACACTATGGAACTTTTTATGTTAATCACTGTCCTCACTTATTGTAGCGTGAATTAGCTTCACACGTGTGTAAGTAGTCATGCAGTACACACTCTGCCCTCTTTGCTGAGCGTTATTTCCGAGAGACATGTGGCATGTACCTGTCATTCCTGGCGTCATGGGTTTCCATTGTGAATAAGAGTTCATACTCTTTGTTTTATTCTTAGACATTTGGGTATGTTTTTGGTTTGTCTTTGTTTGTATGTTTTGGTTTGATTTAGTTTTTATTTTTCTGAGACAGGGTTTCTCTGTGTAACCCCGGCTGTTCTGGAACTCACTCTGTAGAGCAGGCTGGCCTCAAACTCAGAGATCTACCTGCCTCTTACTCTTGAGTGCTGGGATTTATGAAAGAACAGATATGTGTCACCATGCCTGGCTCTTTTTGTTTGTTTGTTTTTGTTTTTATTGTCTAGACTTGTCATGTTTTCTGTTGTTCATAGTTGGCAGTGTAGCCAGTTAAGCCTGTTTTTAGAAAAGTTTTATTCTCTAATTCAACTGGCCTGTGTAAGGGTAAGCACTCCATTGCTGAGCCATACTCCTCTCAAACTGATACAAATTGATCCTGATACTGCCCCTGCCTTCGCCTCCCAAGTGCTAGAATCACAGGGCTGTGTCAGTATGCCTGTCTTAAAGCAGCTATTTCTTGACTTGTATCTTCCCAGTGTTCTTCTACTCTTTTGTAGGAACCAGAGTTAGTTTCTCCTTGTTATTGGGAGATTTTGGGTCATTGACTGTGTTCCCTGTATCATGTATTAGTCAGATCTCTGAGTTAAAGAAAATATGAAAGAACAAGTTTCCAGGTTGTTTTTGCTTGTTTGAGACAGGGTCTCACTATGTAGTTCTGGTTGGCCTAGAACTCACTATGTAGACCTTAGGCTGGTCTAAAACTCACAGAGATCTATCTGCCTCTGCCTCCCAAGAGCTAGAATTAAAAATTAAATTGTGTGCTACCATGGCCAGTTAGTGGTGTTTTGTTATTATTTTTAAAATTAATTTTTAATGTGTTTGAGTGTTTACCTGCATGCATGGTCTGTGGACCTGTCACACATGTACAGTTCTCATAGAGGCCAGTGATGGTGCTGGGTCCCTTGGATATGGAATTCAGGCTATTGTGAGCCACTGTGCTGGGAACCAAACCTGCACGAAAAAAGAGGAAATGCTCTTAACTGTTGGGCCTTCTCTCGTGCCCCAGTTTTCCCGTTTTAAGGTTATATTGGAACTTGTGTGCCATTCTAGAGGGAGGGAAGATGTGATGGGCTTGGTGTTTGAATTTTACCTATCAAATTAAGATAGTTCCAACTAGTACAGGAAAGTGCTGGAGCAATTTCATGCTGTGTGGTAAAGAGCTCACGAGCAGCTCGAGTGCTCAGTTGTTTCTGTGTGTCTAAAAGTTGTACACTAATGTTTATTTCTTACCTGCTGCAGCTTCAAGTGGGATGTCATGGCCAGCTCCTCGGACAGTGAAGATGACAGTTTCATGGCTGTGGACCAAGAAGAAACTGTGTTGGAAGGGACAATGGATCAAGATGAGGACCCTCACCCAGTGTTGGAGGTTGAAGACACAAGACATAATAGGTCAATGTCTGAGCTGCCAGAAGAGGTTTTGGAGTATATCCTATCCTTCCTTTCACCGTATCAGGAACACAAAACTGCAGCTCTGGTCTGCAAACAGTGGTATCGGCTTATCAAAGGTACTGTGGATAAGACAGGTTATTTCAAGTGTTCTAAATAGATATTTGTGTGTGTGTGTGTGTGTGTGTCTGTCTGTCTGTCTGTCTCTCTGTGTATGTGTATGCATGTATGTTACACATGTGCAGGTACCTTTGGAGGCCAGAGAGGGCATCAGATCCCTTGAATCTTTAAAGAAAGCTGTGAGCCACCTTTGTGGGAGCCGCGAATGAACTCCAGTCCTCTGGAAGAACAGCATGAAATCTTATCTGTAGAGCCTGGTTATGGTGCTTCCTGTCTTGCCCCCCTCCCCCAGAGTTTCTCTGTGTAGCTTTGGCTGTCCTGGGTTCACTTTGTAGACCAGGCAGGCCTCGAACTCACAAAGATCCGCCTGCCTTTGCCTCCCTAAGTGCTGGGATCAAAGGCATGCGCTACCACACCTGGCTTGGTTATGTCAGTTTTTATTGACAACCCTGTCTTTTTTTAGACTCCCCCTATTTTTCTTTTCTCCCTAAAGACATTATTTTTATAAAATTTAGTATTAGATAAATTAACACATTTTTTCTTTTCTATCTTAATTTTATAAATAGTTAGAATACTAATATATAGTATACAGTTGTATAATAATAATAATAGTATTTAGTTCATTTGTAGTTTCAAAATAAGGTGGGTTTGTTTTAGTTTTTTGTTTTTCTAGACAGGGTTTCTCTGTAGCCATGACTGTCCTGAAACGAATTTGGTAGACCAGTCTGGCCTTGAGAACGATTTGCCTCTGCCTTCTGAGTACTGGGATTAAAGGTGTGCACAACCACTGCCCTGTAGATGTTTACCTTTTAAAATTACTACATGAACACGTACACTTTTTGGCACAAGGTCTCATTGGGTATAGCCCAGGCTGGACTTGAACTTATTATGATCCTATATCTCAGCTTTCTGAATAACCTCCTATACCTTGGTAAAGTGTAGTTCTTTCTATTTTGACATTCCTTGTTTCTTTTCTTTGATTGAAAATGAGAGAAATTTGGACTTCCCCAAAATATTTATGAGTCACACAAGTGCTGAGTCAGTTAATAGATTCAGTTTTAATAATTTTCTCCCATTTCAAGTAGGTGTCTAAGCTGTTGTCTTTGGTTCTTTCATATCTAGGTGTCGCCCACCAGTGTTACCATGGTTTCATGAAGGCTGTCCAGGAAGGAAACATTCAGTGGGAGAGTCGGACTTACCCTTACCCCGGAACCCCCATCACTCAGCGCTTCTCTCACAGTGAGTATCCACATTGTGAAACCAGGTCCACATTGCTCTAGAAACTTTTCTGGAGACATGCATTTTGTATGGCTTTTTAAGAAAGAGAATGTAAAATGGGAGTTTCTAACAATTAGGAAGAAGTGAGTCTAAAAGTGTTGTAATGACTGCTGTGTAACTCAGTGGCAGAGTGCTTGCCTCAGAAGGCTCAGGGTTCACTCCCTGACAGCCTGACATATAATGGTAAGGCATGTGAATCTTATAGTATCATTTTTCATTTGATTCTCCTCCTGCTTCAGCCTCCTGAAGGCAATGGTTTCAGGCATGTACCACCATACCTGGCTAGTTTGAGCTTTTGGTAGGAAGGAGCTATGGCTTTGGTTGGTTACCTATGGCTTTAAAAAATGACCACAAGCTGGGCAGTGGTAGTGGTGCACTCCTTTAATCCCAACACTCATGAGAGAGAGGCAGGTGGATATCTGAGTTCGAGACCAGCCTGGTCTGCAGAGTGAGTTCCAGGACAGCCAAGGCTACAAAGAGAAACCTTGTCTTGAAAAACAAAACAAAAGTGACCCCCAAACTTAGCAGTTTAAACACTTCAGACTGTTTTAAACAGTTTAAACAGATATTTCTTACCTGTTGGTGAAGGTGTGGGATTTGGACTGTCTCATAGAGTTGCCATCATTGTCATCCAGAGCTTCAGTGTCCTGAGGATTGGGCAACCCCTTCAGAGGAGGCCTCAGTTTCTTATTCATGGACCTCTCGATAGAGCCCATCTCACTGTCAGCTGCTTACTGTAGAGCAAGTGGTGATGATGGGAGGGTGCCTGACAAGGAAGCCAGAGGATTTTTCGAGATCTCTGAAGTGAGCATATCTCTTCTTTTCTACTCTCTTGGTTACAAGGGGATTGACAAGGGTTGTAAACACCAAGAGGCGAGGACCTTTAGTGTCACCTATCCCCAGATTGTGTGCTGTACTTATTTGGAGATGTCCTGAAATAGTTAGGACTTGTTTATTGCTTTAGGGCTGGATGAAAATAGGCCAAAGAGACAGATAAAGTGCATGTAGCTCTTGAGGAGCTGCTCTTTTACCTGTGCTACTCTAGATTGTTCAGAGGAGGAGGACATCTATGAGACCTCAGTGAGACTTGGCTGAAGTCAAAACTGGAAGTGTGTGACAGTGAAGGACACTAGGTTTACAAGAGTAGCTGGGGACTGGTGAGTTGGCTCATTGGCGAAGGAGCTTGCTACCAAGCTGTTGTTACCTGAATTCCATCTCTAGATAAAACTTGGTGGAAGAGAACCAATTCCTGCAAGTTATCCTTTAACTGAATTGTCCTCTGACCTCCACACTCACTACTATATGTCCCCTCCCCCGAGTAAATCAGTCAATAAATATAACGGGGGAAAAAAGAGAATAGTTCAGTGGTACTTCCTTGACCCATGCTGGACACCAGCAGTTTACCCCAGTGCTTCTGAGCTGTTCATGCCATTGTCAGCACAGTGAGAAGTGGCCTGCGCCTGTCCTGGCAGTGGGGGGCCGAAGGGTTTCAAGACCAGCTGGGTTTCTAGCAGAACCCTGTCTCAGAATCAAAAAGTAAGTCTCATTATCATTACTGCTCTTACTGAAAGAGGTCTCAACCACTTCTGGAGTTTGCAGATCATGATTATAAGTGGCTGGACTAGGTGACATTCTGTCTGTGAGGATCCATGTTTGAGTCAGTGTGTGTTATCACTACAGACAGAGGAAGGGTTGCTGACAGAGTTCTGGAGACTGTTGTGCTGGTTTTTGCAAGGCTAGAGATGGAAGTTGGGGCTCCCTACTTCTGCGCTATGACCCTGCCCCTAAGTGCTGAAGTGCGAGCGAGGAGGATGAGTCTGACTGTGTTAGTCAGCTTCGTGTCAGCAGAGCAGCATGCTGGAAGTGGCCAGCCTTGTAAGGGGAAAGGGCTCTCACTTCACTCCAATGCACCTTCCAGCCTGTCACTGTCACTGAGCAAGGGCGCTCATTGTGCTCATAGAAATCCAGGAAGGAGTCATAGGTACTTTTGTTTAAAAAAATTTTTTCCCTCCCTCCCTCCCTCCCTCCCTCCCTCCCTCCCTCCCTCCCTCCCTCTCTCTCTCTCTCTCTCTCTCTTTCTTTCTTTCTTTCTTTCTTTCTTTCTTTCTTTCTTTCTTTCTTTCTTTCTTTCTTTCTTTCTTTCTTTCTTCCTGTTTATCTCTATATACTGTCTAGCTGACTGGCAAACTAAAGAAGACAATTACAGAAAAATGGGCAACTTGCAAAATAAATTAAAAATAAGAATTCCAGGTCTGATGAGATGGCTCAGCAGGTACCAAGCCTGACATCCTGAGTTTGATTCCCCAGGACCCACATGGTAGATGGAGAGAACCAATTCCCAAAAATAGTCCTTCACACATGCACCTTGGCACACATGTTCCTACACACATACACAGAATGAATGAATAAATAAATGAATAAATGCATTTTTGTTGTTGTTGTTTTTTAAACAAGACTTTGGTATGTACATTCTTTTTTTTTTTTTTTAAGACTTATTTATTGTTTATACAGTGTTCTGCCATACACATAAGAGGACACCAGATCTTACTATAGATGGTTGTGAGCCACCATGTAGTTGCTGGGAATTGAACTCAGGACCTTTGGAAGAGCAACCAGTGTTCTTAAACTCTGAGCCATCTCTCCAGCCCTTGTTGTTGTGTTTTGAGACAAGACTTTTTTCTGTATAGCCTTAACTATCCTGGTACCTGCTCTGTAGACCAGGCTGGCCTCAAACTCAGAGATCTGCCTGCCTCTGCCTCGTGAGTGCTGGAATTAAAGGTGTGTGCCACTACTACCCAGCTAATAAATGTTATTTTAAAATTAAAAGAAAAGAATTTAATTTTTTTCCTTTGGTTCCTTCCTTTTTTCTATTCTGTCTATTTGTGATCTGTCAGTTTTCATTCTTATCCTTACTTCACATTGGTTCAATATCTGCATTTTAAATTAATTCTTCACTTATGTTACCATGGAGATACTGGATGTTTCATATTCAGTTAGCTAAAAGTGGAGCTCATTGCCCCCTCCACCAATTTTTCCCCTTCCTTAATTTAGTGAATGCCATCATCATCTTAAATACACAGACTTGAGGTATTGGATTCATTCTCAGTTCTTGTCTTTAAGATTGGAAGCTGGATGTGGTGGTACATGCTTGTAATCCCAGAACTTCAGTGGTGGAGCCAGGAAGAGTTCAAGGCCAGCCCTTGTTACTTAGTGAGTTTGAGGTCAGCTTGGCTTACCTGAAATTCTGTGTGAAACAAAGCAAAACAAAAAGCCAAATTTCTGTTCTGCTTCAAACTTTTTCTTTTTTCCTATCTCTTAAATCATTATCTAACTATTACATCCCAGCACCCTCACAGTACATTCCTCTCTTTCTCTGTGGTGCTGGAGAGGTTAAACCTTGAGCCTCATGCAGTGCAAATGTGAATACTGCCCCTTCCCCAATTCTAAATGTCTTCTTTTCCTCTCTCCATCTTACGCTGGATAGAACTAACTCAGACCCTGATCCCTACACAGAAAAGGCCACGTTGTTGGTGCTCTGTCCTGACAAGACTGCGCTTTCCCTCTGCTCTTCTACACCGCACCTTTGTCATTACTATCGTTTCTCTTAGAGAAGCTTCATCAACAGAACAAAGACCTTTGCCTCTGGGAACCAAAAGCCTGGGATTTTTACCCAGTTTTTTTGTTTGGAAGATATATTTGGCAAATTCTGTTTATGTTATAGGTTGCTGAGAAATATAACTGAGAAGTAATCATCCACACATTATTTAGACTGTTGAATGTGAGCATAATGTCTCCTCCATAAGTGGTTGTGTACTTGAGGATAGGTCCCACATTGCAGACATCCTTGTACTTCTTACCGTCTAGTTCATAGCTAGTTCTGTAATTACTATGCCTCTCCAATGACAAATCACTCCACACACTTAAGAGATTAATAAAGGGAAAAGCTCTTTAATATAACAAATGTCCAAAGAGGAACATAGTCATCCTTAAATCTCTTTCAGGTCCCAGCCCCAGGTTACACTTTGAACAATTTAAACAGTCAGGAAACTGCAAATCTGGGCACTTAGGCAGATGGGAGATCCACATTAAAAAGATATTGCCAGAAGTATTTTTAGTGCACCAGTGTTATTCTTTTTCAAATAGTTGTTACCCAGGGTCATCTTGCTTACCTGGCAGAATTATGCTTTTTTTCAAGAAGAGAACTAAGGGGCTACATGGCAGGCCAGGTCTTAACATTGGTTGTGACCCTGTGTTGCCCCCTTGAGCTGATAAGGAAATGGGCCTAATGGTTTGTTCTAAGTCAGGTTTGCCTCCTTTGTTATGAGATAGGAGCGTAATAGTGGTTGATACTGATGAGTGGACATTAGCATCCTGATATCCTAAATTCCATTGGACTCTGACAGGCCAGTTAGCAGACCACGCTGGGACTACATGTCTGGGAGGCAGCTGCATTAGTTAAGTTCTGTTTTGTGTCTTGATGTCTCCTAAGCAGATCTACTAGTGAATCCCTCAATTCTCGTTGAGTATCTCCTACATCAGTATGAATACATTTTAATAATTGTCAATGTTTATAGGTTTAAACACAACAAATATGGGCCAGTGAGATGGCTTAGCAGGGAAAGGCACCTACCACCAAGCCTGAAGACCCAAGTTCATTTCCCAGGACCCGCAAAAAGAGAACCGACTCCTGCAGATTCTCTGACTTCTACACATACAGGCTTTTCATTAAAAAAACAAACAAACAAACAAACAAGCAAAAAAAAAAAAAAAAACAACTTTAAATGCCATAGGCACAACAAATACATGTCCATTAACAGATCTTTCCTATGTTAAAAGCCTGGGACAGAAAAGGCAGGTGAAATGAAAAGGCCAGTTTTGTACTTGGTGAATGTCTGCAGATCTGATGATGACAGCCTTGGTTAATGGAGGATACCCTTGTCAGATTACTATAGACAATCTCTAACATAGTAAGCCTTGAAGTGTTTAGGCTTCTCAGTCAGTCAGGTAGTTTCCACACACTGCTGATCTGGCACCTGCAGGAGTGTGCAGGCCCAGGCTGGATCACCACCCTCGCCTGTCCTGAGTTATGTAATTACAGACCTTATCAAATATGTTCCAGCTTGTACAAGGGAGACACATGACAGCATAGTCTCTTCCAGCATGGGATAAATGCCTCAGGGCCTTTCCCTGGTGACAGTAGGGAAACAAAAGGGAGTTTAACATCTGCAGATCTGAAAGTTAGAGTGTGCAGCTTACTTGGGGAACATTAGGGGACTGTTCAGACAGTATGGAAATCCAGATTCTTAAACATCTTACACCAGAGATGATTATAGTTCAGTAGAAAACTATTGTGGTGTGTGAAGTAAGCTTGGCTTTTGTGTGCAGTTAAATCATGGCTATGCGTTCTTGGATGGAGACTGTTAGCAATTTGAGATTAAGTGTCTTTGTTATAGTTATTCATGGAGCAAGAAAACCCACTTTGAGCAAGTTTGGAGATTTAACAGTTGGGACACATAGCTTCCATGTTTCTTAGCACACTACTCACCATGCAGTGAGCTCTAATTGCTATAACATTCCAGAGGTCTAGATGTTCTGGAAGGAAACCTAATTGGGTATAGAACTTGAATAAAAGGCAAGTAACAAGTTAGGTCTTAGAATTGCTCACATTCTTTGTTAGTTGGGCATTCCCAGCTGTGCTGTCACCACTTCAGTGTCTCAAATAAAAACAAACAGTAAGCAGAATTAAATGGTATGCTTATGAGAATATTTGAGTGTCCTATATCCTTTCTGGATTTTGAGGTAGAGTCTTGCTATGTAGCCCTGGCTGGCCTACAATTTGTTTATAAACCATGGTGTCTTTGAACTTGTGACTAAGTATGCACCATTTCCAATAGTTTTCTTGTTCTACTATATCTGAGTTCTAAACATTGTTTTCTAAATTGATTCCCTTTCTCTCCCAGCTTCACTAATTCTTGACCAGTGGTCACTGAAACTCAGCCATGTCACTTGCATCTCAGTATCTTAGCTTCGGGCCCCATTTTTCTGCTTCAGAAACCTTTATTTGTTCAGAGAGAAGCAGGAAAATGCAGCTTGCTCTATTTTAGTATAGGATTAAAATACATGCGAAGGACCTCATGGGGCCCAACTAGCTGGGTTTTCAATCCAAATAGAGGAGAAGAATGTTTGCTAGCTCTTTGAAAAATAAAACCATTCTGCTCTTCTGCTACATGAAGGAAGCTGCTACTGAGAGTTTGTGTATAGACTTAGGGTGACATAAACTAGACTTGATGATCCTAGTTAGGAAATTAGGGACTTGCCTTATCATTTATTACTTACTTATCGTGTGTGTGTGTGTGTGTGTGTGTGTGTATGTGTGTGTGTGTGTGTGTATGTGTATGTATGTGTATGTGAGTGTGCGCGTGTGTGCGCACTGCCACATGGTTCATTGGTCATCAGGCTGGATAGCAAGCACCTTTACCCTCTGAGCTGTCTTACTGGCTTGGACATGCTTTATCAAGTATCAATGTAATGAACAGGAGTTACATTTCAGAAGCTCTAGAATGCTGTTAGTTAGTTCTTCATGATATTGGAATTTCTAGTCTATTCCAAGACAGGTGGAATCCATAGTATAATCCATAACTGTAATCCTAGTACTCAGGAGGCTGAGGCAGGAGAATCACCATGAACTCAAGACAAGCTTGGGCTGCACAGTGACCTCTGTGGGACCAAGATAACACAGATCTGGTGAGTTTCTTTAACAGGAGTCCAGATGTAGAACCAGGATTTATCCTCATTTCTCTCATGCCCTTTAACTTATTTCTTTGTTATTAAATCATTAAAAATTAAAAAAAAAATTATGTGCATTGGTGTTTTGCCTGCATGTGTGTTTGTGTGAGAGTGTCAGATCTTAGAGTTACAGACAGTTGTGAGCTGCCTTGTAGTTGCTGGGAATTGAACCTGGGTCCTCTGGAAGAGCAGCCAGTGCTCTTAACCACTGAACCATCTCTCTAGCCTGTTTGTAGTTTTTAACAATTGTGAGCAATGGAATTTTACTAGACTACCTTTTCTCTATTTATGTTACTTTTATTTGAGACAAGAGTTCACAGTGTGGTCCTGACTAGCCTGGCACTTACTTTGTAGACCGTGTTAGACTCTGCTTTTAAAATAGAGTTGTGAGGGGGCTGGAGAGATGGCTCAGAGGTTAAGAGCACTGGCTGCTCTTCCAGAGGACCTGAAGTCAATTCAGCAACCACAACCATCTAAAATGAGATCTGGTGCCCTCTTCTGACACGCAGGCATACATGCAGGCAGAACATTGTATACCTAATAAATGAATAAATCTTAAAAAAAAAAAGTTATGAAGTCAAAGTACTCCTTTAGGTATAGATTCAAAATTATCATTTAAAAGATTTTAATTTATTTCATCGTGTGTGTGTGGTGTGTTACCTGCATGTATGTCCTTGCACCATGCGTGTGCAGTGCTCTCAGATGTCAAAAGAGGGTGTCAAACTCCTGGAACTGGAATTTCAGGGTTAACCTCTACGTGGGTGCTAGGAATTGAACCCCAGTCCTTTGGAAGACCAGCCAGTGCTTTTAACTTCGGAACCATTTCTCTAGCCCCTCAAAATTATTTTCAAACTAAAAGAGAGTCCATAGAAGGGTTAACATTTGAAAGCTGGCGTGGTGGCGCACACTGTTAATTTCAGCACTCAGCTCAGTAGGCTGGCTGTGGGATCTAGGTTAGCTTGGGCTACATAATTCCCGGCCAGCCAGGGCTATAATTCTGTTTCCAGAAAAAAACGGAACCTGTAAAGCTCCTTATATCACTGAAGTAAGCGCTGGGCAAGCGGTGAGGAGCATGTCACAGTGCTGCCCTTCTGTTATTAGAGTGACAGCTGTGGGAACACTTATCCTTTACTGGGAAGCTCGGGGCTTTATTCAGCTACTTTCTAACCTTCATAATGAGCCTGCTTACACGCCTAACAGCTGGCTGAGATGAGAGCAAAGGGAAACTCCCAGAGCTGGTGCACACCACTGCTGTGACTGTGACAATGGTAGCAGGTACTGGGTAGGAGGGTCTTCTTTTTTTTGAGCCTGAATAGTGGTATCATAATTGAGACTAAAGTGCACCTGCACATGGCCAGGTGATCACTGCAGCCAAGTACTAGTGTCTGAGAACTCTGGATCTTTTACTCTTGTCCTTCCTTCCATGTGACGTGGGGGTGACTCCTCCCAGCCTGTGTGGTGCTTTGTGCACATGGAGGAGGCTTTGCTTTCTGGAGCCCAGGTGGTAAACGTGAGGCTGCAGGGCCTGTGCTCACCCTTTCCTAGGGACAGTGACTGGATGAGACTTGAAGGAGATGCCAGGGCAACTTTCCTGCTTCTCTGAACTCTGGATTAGGTCTTTCTGAGTTTAGTCCTTTCCTTTGCCTCTGTTTCTTGGGAACACTCTGGTGATGAGCATGTGATTGACTACCAACTTTGGCTCTTCTTTGGCCTTGGTTCTCTTCAGGTTCTCTTAGATTTAGCATGCCTAAGGGGTTAAGGATTCAATCACTTTCTTTTTTTGTTTTTTGTTTTGTTTTGAAACATGGTTTTTTTGTGTAGCCTGGCTGTACTGGACTCACTTTGTAGACCAAGCTGGCCTCGAACTCACAGAGCCTCTGCCTCCAGAGTGCTGGGATTAAAGGAGTGTACCACCACACCTGGCTGCTTTCTTTAGTTTCTTTGAGCCTGAGCTGCTGTTTCCTTTGTTTCACAAAATCTGTCTTGCTTTAGTTACATTGATGTCTGTGTGGTTTTTCTGGCACTGGTTAAAATTGTTTTTACAGTTGTTGTGTTTCATATAACGATTTCTGCTTTAGGTTTCATTTGAAAATGCAAAACTTAGGGGAAAGTCCTCGGGGACAAAGGAAGGACTTCTGTGACCCTGGCTTGCTTTGCCTTAGGGAACAGGGTAGTTTTGATTAGTGATGTAACCAGGCTCAAAGAAGCTTCACTCTTGAAGCCACCATCTGAATGTGTGTTGCTTGCTCTGTGACGTCACTGTTGGTGTGCTTGATGCCCAGAATACAGTGTTTAGGGGCTGCAAAGGAGGCTTGTCTCTTAAGGGCACTGGTTGCTCTTCCAGAAGATTCAGTTCCCAGTCTCTACATGGCAGCTAATAACTGTGACTCTAGTTCCAGGGGATCTAACATCCTCTTCTGGCCTCCATGGGTACTACACATTACATACGTGCAGGAAAGACACTCACACACACAAAATAAAAATAAATCTTCAGAAAAATTTAAATAATAGTAATAATAAATGTTTATAGCTTTTCTCTGGGCTGTTCTTCAAGGATAATATGACACTGAGCAATCAGAAGACACATTGCTGGAGATAGAGATTTGGCACAGAGCTATTGAATGTGTGGAATATTTGAGTTTTGAAAAAGTAGGTTAGGGTTTAAAGTTAGAGATATCAAAATGAAGCTGCAGTCCTTTGTTTCTTGTTTTCCTTTATCCCTGTAGGTGCGTGCTATTACGATGCCAATCAGTCTATGTATGTGTTTGGAGGCTGCACCCAGAGCAGTTGCAATGCCGCCTTCAATGACCTCTGGAGGCTTGACCTAAACAGCAAAGAGTGGATTCGACCGTTGGCTTCAGGTAAGGAACGGACTGCTGGTTTCTGCTTTCTCCCCAGAGGACTTCTTGGCATGGTCTCAAGCATATGTTACTGGTATCCCAGGTTCCTTGTCAAATCAGCTGTTTAAGTGCCTAGGGTCATATACTCATCTAAATTTTTGCAGTAAGAATAAAATTGTAGCTGGGTCTAGTGGTGCACACCTTTAATCCCAGCACTTGGAAAGCAGAGGCAGATGGTTCTCTGAGTTTGAGGCCACTCTGGTCTACATAGGGAGTTTTAGGATACATAGAGAGTTTAGGACTATATAAAAGGACCCTGTCTCAGTAGATAAAAATAAACTGTGTTTTATCATCAGTATTAATACTGGTATTTGTCCAGCATCACTGTGTTACTGTGTGAATCCATCGGTGTGGTTTTCTCAGGTACTTGCACAGGTGTGATTTGTGTTTGGAATGAAGTTGATGAACAGAGCAGAGTCATGAGAACCATAGTTGACTGACAGGAGCTATTGTCCCAGGACTGAGGTCTCTGAATAACACTTGTTCTTGCCAGCTTGGATACTTGGGGAGTGTATGGGACATGCCTCTGCTGGTTGCTCAGCAGTGTGGGAAGATTCCATAGCAGGTGCATTCCTACACAGTCCCAGGATGGCAGGGTTACGCCAGAAAATAGGTTCCTTTTCTCCTTGTGATGTAATCTTTCCTTTTAAAAAAAAACAAAACAGTTGTTTTTGCACTTACGAGATTGTCCTGTCAGTTTGAAGTGTCAGTCTTAAGACTGGAGGTGGTGAAACCACAGAGAAACTTAAGTCCCTGGGATATAAAATGCTCCCTAGATTCATTGGTGGCTTTCCCCTGACACTCTTCAGTTGCTTTTTCAAGGCTGGAACTCAGTGTCAGCACCAAGGAGACTTGGGTTTTCCTTGGGCACTTTTCATTTACTCAGGCCCTGCCATGCTAGTTGACTTAGGTTGGGGTCAGTTTGGCCCTTTAGAAAGGACACTGATGAGGAGGCAGGGGCTTCATTTGTGGCATAATCTCAGTTCTCAGTAACTGAGTTACAGCACCTCTCAAAAGTGTGGACTGGATGAACCTGTCTTAAAGGCTGGAAAAGCCAGTTCACACTCTGTGTTTACAGAACAGCTGCTGTGGAGTAGTGGCCAGAGGCTTAGCTCTACTTCCACAGTGGAAAGCTCTGCTCTTTCTCCTGTAGTAAGCAAACAGAGCAGGAGCGTGCAGACAGGGTTACTAGAGTACTCAGGGCAGGGCTGGGATTGTGCAGAGCCATATAAAAAGTATTGAAAGTATGGCTAAATAGTACTATTTTAGGCTCAGGATTTTATGCTTAGGAAGGTCTCCTTTTCTAGGCCCTTGGTTCGCTATTACATGTAATGAAGTATTGATTAATAAGTATTTGGAATCACAAATTCTTCTTTTAAATAAAACATTTATTTACGTGTTTTTGTCTGTGTGCATGCCTGCTGGATCTACTGCAACCGGGGTTACAGATGGTGGTGAGCCACCATGTAGAATTGAACCCCATGGGAATTGAACCCCAGTCCTCTGCAAGAACAACAAAGTGCTCTTAACTGCTGAGATACGTTTCCAGCGCCTGGAGTTAGAGATTCTAAAGTGTAGAACATTGAGGCTGGAGAGATAGCTCAGTGGTTAAGAGCATTTGCTGCTCCTTCAGAGGACACATGTTCTGTTCCCAGAACCCACATGGTGGCTTACACCTGCCTGTAACCCCAGTTCCAGAAGACTCAACACCCTCTCTTGGCTTCCACAGGCACACATGCAGAGATGAAGAACGTCTTTACAGCCTGAGCACCCTGTGGCCACTGTATCTGCACAGGGCCCAGACACCATTTTAAAGCAGCCTTGCTTGTCGCAGTCACAGTGCTGATTCTGCCTGTGTCTTGTCACCTCACTTCACACCTGATCTTTCGCCCTGGACACCTCTGAAAGGGTGGGGACCTTCATAAATTCCTTTAAGATCCATGTGAAACTTCACTTTATAATTAAACCACTAAGTTTTTGTTGTTTAGAATTTTTTTTTTCCCATTATGTATTGTGTGGAGGGTGCTTGCAGAGTCCAGAACAGGGTGTCAGATTTGCTGAGCTAGAGTTTAGGCAGTTTTGAGCAACCAGCATGAATACTAGGAACCATACTTGAGTCTTCTGCAGAAGCAGAACATGTTGTCTCTCCAGCCTGTTAAACCGCTAAGTTTAAAGGCTATTCTTTGAAATCCCCATAGTAGATAGTCTTGGAGGAGTAGCTGGTTTGGTAGTTTAGAGTTTATGTAGAATAATAGTTATTGATAAGGTTCTCTTTAGGTTGGTTGGTTGATTTGTTTGTAGCTGAACTTTCATTACTTTGTGGGTTCTTCTTTCTTCCACCCTTTCAACCCCCTAACATTAGATAGGAGAAAAAAAAGGATAGAAAGGGAAAAAAAGATCCCTGAGTAAAGTCTGGGGTTTGAAAGGGGTAACATTATTGTTAGACTACTTCCTGCTGATTACGGGGATTGTTTGATCTTTACCATCATGATGTCTGATTTCTTCTTGTTGTTTCTTCTTTGTGCATGACTACTTAACAAACCATGACCAGCAACAACCAATAACCAACCAATAACCCACCCTGCCTCTTGGGGGGCCTTAGTATTTATATACCCTCTGAAAAGTCCCCAGAATTCCAAAAGTCACACAGTTGCAGAAACTATCTGCAGCTGGCAAAACCACACCTTTGCTAGAGCATGAGGCAAATCATAGTCAGCTGCTGTGAAGCAGCCCCATATCCCCCCACACCTGGGATTAAAACAAAAACATGTTGTTAATTATATTTCTGTGATTTTTTTAGGGGTTGATTAGAGAATTCTGGAATTCCAGAATTCTCACTACACCTGGTTCCTTTTTAAAATAAGCTATTGAATGTTTAAAGTCATTTTCTATTGAAGTGCCTTAAAAGAATCTAGTTGCCATTTCACCTTAACTTTTAATTAGAGCCTAGTGTTTTGAGGGGAGTTTTTTTGAGATACCTTTTTTTTCCCCCCCCAAGACAGGGTTTTTCTGTGTAGCCCTGGCTGGCCTGGAACTTACTCTGTAGACCAGGCTGGCCTCAAACTCAGAGATCTGCCTGCCTCTGCCTCCCAAGTGTTTGGGAGTATGTGCCATTACCACCTGGCTGAGATAGCTATTTTAAAAAACAAACAAAAAAAATAGTTTAATACAGAATCTGATGAAATTCTCATTTAGGCTGAAATCCTTTGAAATGATTCCCTGAAAGAATGTATCTGCCATCCTGAGTGCCAACCTGAATTTTTTTTTTTTTTTTTTTTTTTTTTTTTTTTTTTTTTTTTTTTTTGTGAGGGGGTTGGTTTTGAAACAGAGTCAAGCTTGCAGCTTGAGTGGTATTCAGTCTTCAGACTTGGCTGCTGGAAGAGATATTTCAAGCAAGTAGTAGAGCACTTCTGGTTGGGAGGGGCTCATGGTGATGACTGCTCTAGCAGTGCCTTCTTCCATGTAGATTTGGTGTGTCACATAGAAGCCTGTGGCAGTCCTCACCTGGGTGGCATTTTAGCTCAGGCCTCTGTAGCAAGGCTTTCGGGTCCACTGAGGTGACAGCAGTGCTGTATCTGGAGTGGGGTGGGGAGGATGGCAGACCTCACAATGGAAAGAGGATGTGGCTGGTACATATCGGACTTTTCCGGAGAGAACTCGTATGGAGCTTACATTGGAACGGTAAAGCAAAGCCAAGACAAATGCTTAAAAATTTCAAGAAAGGATTATAAAGATCCAATTTAGATTTCAGAGAACTCAGGCCGGCAGTGGTGGGTCATACCTTTAAACCCAGTACTTGGGAGATAAAATCAGGTGGATCTCTAAGTTTGAGGACAGCCAGGACTACACAGAGAAACCCTGTCTTGAAAAACAAAACAAGGAACTAGAGAGATGGCTCAGTGGTTAAGAGCACTGTCTGTTCTTCCAAAGGACCTGGGTTCAATTCCCAGCTGCCACATGGCAGCTCACAACTGTCTGTTAAAGCCAATTTCAAAGGATCTGACACCTTCACACTAAAGCATATAAAATTAAAAAAAAAAAAAAAAAGAAAGAAAAACAAAACAAAAAGATCTCAAAGAACTCTGCTGTTGTCTCCTGGAAGTCAGGAAAGCAAGGAAGTCAATCAAAGAGAACAGGTTGGAGTCCCCATCACAGTGAGAGCGGTTAGAGATTGTGAAGGCTTGGTGTGGAGAGAGGCCAAAGTGGATGACTTTCAGCTGGATCTTTAGATTAAAATGAACTTGGTGGATTGGACATAGGAGAGAGGGCCAGTCAAGGCACACATTCACATCCTGTGTAGTAGCTAGATACAAAGTGGAGCCTTTTTCGGGAGTAGGATACACAGTGGAGAGAAGAGTAGGCTTAATTATTTTACTTTTTTGAAATAGGGTCTCTCGGAACCTCTGCTGACCTTGATTCCTGTTGCAGAGGTTGAACTTAACAAATTTTATCCTCCTGCCTCTACCTCTTAAATGCTAAGATTACAGGTGTTGTTAATACCACCAAATCTGAAGCAAGGTTTAATTAAATACTAGCCAGGATGATAGATTCTGGCCAGGTTCATTTCAGGGTTCCCAGAAAATAGTCCTGAGCTACATTGGCCAGGTACTTATAAAGGCAAGCCTGCCTTGTCTAGTTGGCTGCAAGCATACATCCTGTCGAACTTCCTGCCTACCTGTGATTAAACACATCCAGTGCAGTTGGGTCAACCAGACTTGTTTAGGGAAATGAAACATGTGGCTTGTATCGTATATGAACAACAGCCTGCAAGCATCTCAGGAAGTGTCTGTCCTTGGGCGAGGGTAGTGGTTTCTAGATGAGAAATGTATGATCAGAAGGTTAAGAATGAGCTAAAGGAATCCACCTGTGGCTTGTAGAGTAGAAAGGAGAGTAAGGTGCCAATTAACATGGGCATAGAATTGAAAGGTAGTTGTTTGAGATTTATTATTATTTTGATTACA